TCCCTTCATTGGCACGATATTGTCAAATGGAAGGCTCTGTGCCCTAAGATCTTGAGGCAGGTCCTTGCAGAGCCCCTGAAGAATCACCCAATAGTCAGACAAATAGGGAGTCCTTATACCTACCCCTTAATAGAAAGACTAGCTTGGGAAAAAGCTTAAGACTCTAAACATAAGCCTGGGCTCAGAGAATTGCGACAGACTTGCCCAGTCCCAGCCACCTGGATATTTTCAGTTTCGTCTCTCCTACTGGGATTCTACACAAGGAGCACACTTGGTCTGTTACTAACCAGTAGCACTCTGGTTGCCAGCTCAACAACAGGGACAACAGTCCTATCCCATGTTCTTCCCCACCAGCTCATGGCATAACTGAAGCAGGAAGAATAAACACTGTGCCCCTTCTGACACACAGTAGCTGAAAATGATGCAGAAAACATTATATTGTTATCAGCTGATGGGCTACTATGGAATGGATAATTCTAAATAGCTGATACCCTTTTAAAAGGTGGAGAGGATATAATTTAGCCTTAGCAGATTCACTCTCTCAATGCTAAGTTTCAGTGATCAATACTAAGTTGACTATACTCTCAGCTTGATAGGGAATGCTGGATTATAACACTTGCTGACCTGGGATTAAATATTGACTCCAGACAAGGATTAAACATTGACTTAGCTATGACCTACAGATGGGAGCAGAGCTGACAACAAACAGCACTTCTGTTCAATCTTATCTCACTCCCTTGCAAAGCAGTATTCACAGGGACCATCCGCTGCCAAGTGGACAGTAGAAAGTGGGTAAGGACTGTATGATTTATGGAACTCTTTCTCATCAGGGATTGGATAAATCCATAGTCTTCGGGAGACTAATGGCAAGCTAATGGCAACCTGAAGTTGGATCTGTGTGGGCTGCGCACTTGACCTTCTGCAATCCTCTGGATCAACCAAGGGTGTAAATCAAGGCCTTTGCTGTCTATGGAAACATAGTCCAAAAGATTCATCCTGAATGTGAAGGCTTTGGGAAGGAGAGCAAAATGTCCAGTGCAGAAAATCTTGATAGGCCTGTTCTCTGCTATCCCCTTACCAAACACACTTGGGAAAGTCATTTCACATCTGTGCCTATGGATTTTCATTGCTCAGTGGAGACTCACTGTTCATTCTAAGATCCTGTTCTGTCACATTTGTTTGATGCTGAATCATAATATTTGCTAGGAGCCAGATATTGTATGCATTAATCTTGGTAATGTTCTATGGGTTTAAGACAATCAGGGGGTTGGAGAGATGACTCAGCAGTTAAGAGCACTGGCAGTTCTTGCAGAGGACCCAGGTTCAAATTCCAGCACCCACATGGCAGCTAACAATCATACATAAATCCAGTTCCAGGGGATCTGACACCCTCTTCTGTCCTCTGCAGGCTTTGCATGATATAGGTGCACTTATATGCATGTAGGCAATATACACATTTATTATTTTTATAAAAATAAAAATAATAAATAAAATATCTTTTTACAAAAGACAATCAGGCCCACAGACATTAAATAACTTGTTCAAGATTTCCAGGCTAGCATATTCAAAGGCTTAGGTATGAACCCAGGACAGTGTAGGTACACAGCCCATCCCCTTCCCACAAGCTGCACTGTCTCTCCATGCTTTTTATCTCCTGGTTTGCTCAGTAGAGTGGTATATGTGTATCTTCAGTTAAATGATATGCCTCCGGGAAATAAGAATGAACACTTCTGTATGTCTCTAATTTCCTTGGACCTGGTCATGGTCAGAATAAATGCTTCTAAAAGGCCCATTAACCAAACTGTCTATATCCTAATGCCAGGAGCCTGTAAACGTAGCTTTATTTAGGAAATGGGGCTTCATAGATATGAGTAAGTTCAGGATCATCAAATGAGGCTATCATCCTGGATTATCTGAATAGCCCTAAAATGTCATCACAAGTGGCATAGAGAGAGGCAGATATTGGAGACATGTGAAGACTATGTGACCACATAGGCAGAGCCTGGAAAGATTCAGCCATACATCAAAGAATGCCAAGAAATGCTGGCCGCAGCCAGAAACTAGAAGAGGCAATGAACAAATTCTCCTCTGGAGACTCCATAAGGAGGGTGGCTCTGCTGCCACCTTGACTTTGGACTTTTGGTCTTCAGAACTGAGTAAGAATATAATATCTGTTGTTTTATATTGGTAAGATTGTAGCCATTTGTTACAGCAACCACAAGAAACTACTATGGTGCTCAGCTGACTGACACACAGAAGACTAGAACCAGAGGACCTTGGGAGCAGTTAGTGCTGCCCTCTCATTCAACAGATGAAAAGCTCACACACCTAAAGAATAAACTAGAGGCAGAACCCTGGCCAGGATACAGGTGTGCCAACCCAGGACCAGTCATTCTGATCCTCTCCACACTGGCTGAGTCCTAGGTCACGAAAGGAAATGAGATGTGCTTTTCATTATATATTATGTCTAGAGGAGGGGTGGCTTGAGTATATGAAGTAAATTTTGGAAAGCACTGTTGTTGGCATCACTACTGAGCTGGACAGTTAGACACCTTCCCTAGGAGTAGGCCAGTCCCTCCTCCATCGGGGATGGATACACAAGCTATTTTAGGGTCACTGGGTTCTAGAGAGGGAAACTGCAGTGTGAGAGGGAAAGCTGACCACTGTAATCACACCACCAACTTGTGGCCAGACCTAAAATTTGCCACAGGTTCTTTTACTTCCTGATTCTTTACTAGGTTCTACTTTTCCATTTCCTCTTTCCCAAATCTGGGTTCTTAAGTGGCAGAGACGGACTTCAGGTATGTGTGTATGTGGGGGGGGTGTCTCTGTGGATGCATGTATGCCTACTGCAGTCTGCTGAAACACTTTGGGAGCCCTTGGGAACATGCACCAGTACACGATCTAGTGAGCTAACCACCATCCTGGAATTATGGAGAAGGCAAGATCTGCCCCATGTCCAAGCAGTAAGAGAAGCAATGGTTTAGTGGATGTACTGCCCTCCTTCCTCAAAAGCATTTGTTCTTCAAGTGTCTATGCTACTATTCAGGGGTCTCCATTAGTCCTTACTCCATCCCAAACAACTAGGCACAAGTTATTCCCTGCTTTAGGGGAAGCAAACATATCCTGAAAATATCCTGACTACTGAGTTCAAATAGAAAGACATACGGAACAGAAAACTCTAGCAGAGCTCTCCGATGGCAGAAGCAGGCTTGTCTCATTCTTTCCCTACACATGTACCTCCCCAGGCACATGCCTCCCTAGCTATTCACCATGGAATAGGGAGAAAGAAAACTGCTAACGAGGAAGAAACAGAACTTGGTAACTTAGCACATGGGCCCACACAGATCCAACCTCAGGTTGTCATTAGCTTGACATTAACCACCCACCACCATGGCTCTGAACCTGAGCTCCAAGAGAAGAGAGGAGATTAACAATGCTATATCCAGATGAGCTTGGAAACTCCTGAACCAAGGGGCCGGCAGTCCTGCCTGTCTTCTCTAGACTGTCAAAGATCCACAGCTTTGCCATTACCAATCATCTCCAACTTGGTGGAAGTTTGCAACTCAGAAGAGGCAAAGGCATTGTGGGACCTTTACTCCCTACAAGAACTCAGAAAAATCAATCTATCCCTCAACTATAAGAAAGGCAAAGGAGGGCTGAAGGGCCCGAAAGTCCCACTAAAGGAGTTGATCAGTAGGGACGGGGATACACAGAGTGAATGCAGAGCTTTTGGAATGAACCAGGATAAAGACTCACCAAGCAGGACAGTAACCTGTCCACCTGTGCCATCTTGGTCCACAGACTGGCTCAGCAGCACAGCAAACCAAAACCAAAATCAGGACCTACTTGAACAGAAGTGCTACCACCCACAGGAGAGAAGAAAGAGGGATGGGGATCTACAATGAGGCTGAATTTCAAATCTGGGACAAAGTGACTGAGATATCATTGAATTGGACTGAGATTGCCTAGATGTGTCTATAATTTTTTTGCATTAGTCAATTTTTTAGGGTCTGAAATTAAGCTCCATAATAAAAACTATGGTTTCTTTTCTTGTCATCCAAATCTGTGAGTGGGGGTTAATAGGCACAAGTGAGTTCACGTGCAGGTCTGACCTCTCTGTGCTTCTCTGGGCCCTTATTTCTCCTTTCTCCTTCCCCTTCTGGAGTTTGCCTTAGGACTTCAGGAAGTGCGGGTGAGCCATGCAAAGGTACAATGCACAGTATTTCTGAGGGATTGGGAGATGACAAGGCAAGGGAGCATGTGTGTATTGGGAAGTGGGCTTTATTTGTGTGACGGAGGAAGGCTATGATCATTTGGAGACCCAAACATGTCCTGCCTGGGACACCTCCACGGACTATGACAAGGAAGAACACTGTTGCCTCACCTCAGTTGCTCAGTGGGCGTCCTCTTCCCTATGCAGCATAGCTCCCAGGTCAGCCCAGCTTCAGGGAGCCCAGGCTCAGCGAGGGTGTTAGGAGGGAAGAAGCATGGTCCCCCCAACATTCCAAAAGCTGTGGATCCAAAAAGGGGGCTTTGCAGAAGGTGTGCTCCATTTCCTAGGGAGTCATAAGAACAAAGCAATTCCTAGTGATCACGAGACCAAGCACAGGGTCGTTCCTGCCACCCATGCTCACTACAGTGAGTGTCAACTTTACACAAGCTTTGGTCTAGGCATTTTACATCTAGTATCTGCCAATGTCCTCTACCTGTATACTTGGTATTGCTATGCCTATTTTCCAGATGAAAAGAAATAGGAAGGTAAGTGCAGACGGCCACAGAGCTAGGAAGTGGCAGAGCAGGATCTTCATATTTGGCATTCTGTCCTATATCCTGAAACTGCAATAATGGAAGATGCCCAAGTAACAGAATCTTCCCAAGGTCATGGGAAAGCAAGTGGAGCCAGTCAGGAAAGTAAGGGAATCTGTGGGAGTCACGTGCTCTGGCTAGCAGCCTTGCCTATGGGAGAGCGGCCCTTTAAGAGCCAGGTAGGTGTGGGGCAGGCAGAGAGCAGTTTCATTTTTGGCAGAAGTAACCGGTGCCCTGGTGGTAGCTTCTAGAGAGTCAGGGGTCACCCTGGCTGGCAGACTGTACCCCGAAACTGGATCGACGGGAGAGAAGGAAGTAGCTAAACGTAAGTGTATGCTCTGGGATCCTGGGACAGGATGCTCTTTGGAATCACAGCTCTGGTAATCTCTCACACTCCCATCTCATGGAGAGGGGTGAGGGCAGGGGGACAGACTGAGTGCTTCTATGTAGTAGAGGAGTGCAGGTGCATATGCCAGTGGTGTAGACAAGGACAGACATGCCCCATTCTTTTCTGCAAAATATGGTGGGTTTGAGAAAGAAGGAATGTCTGTGGCCAGCATATATAACTCTTCCCTTGACATTTAGTCCCCAAACTCCCTTATTCTTCCACAGTTATTAATTTATGCAAGTCACCTCATCTTTCTGAACCTCAGTGTTAATCTCTAAAATGGAAACATAAATAACAAATATCACCCCTTATCTATATGGGTTCAAATGAGAAAATACATGTGAAATAGTTTTGTAATCTCTAGAGCAATATGGCAATTATTTGGTAGTTTTAAATTTAGTTCAATTATTCAAGGATTAATGGAGCACCAGACCTGGGTTCAGATGATACACATAAAGCACATAGCCTCTTCCAGCTTTCCAAGGAGGAAATTCAATTCCTGCTTCTGGGCTTCTAAGAGACTCTGAAATAATTTCTAATTGCAATGCAGACTTGTCTCTACATATTCTTACCACTAGAAACAAGTATGCACCATGGTATCGCTGCCTTGCTCTAAGAAAAAAAACAAGGCACTTGCAGACTGAGGGGAACAGAGCCACTTTCCAAGCACAGGCAGTAGCCATAAGCCATGATTCAGCTCCTAACACAGCATCCAAGGAAGCGTTAACCATAGCCCCCTCAACCCTGTCTACCCTGACAATATTCCTAAGCCAGCCCAGAAGGACAGCAGCCAGCCAAGCTTCACCCTATGTCTCATACCCATTTGTGCAACTGCCACTGTGCCTGGTGCCACCTAGGAGGCACATGTTTTGTGGGGTAGCTTTTGTCATCACTTTTTCCCCTTCACTAAGTGATTTAGTGCTTCCTTAACATCTAAAAGGATGGACCTGTTTCCCAGGTTTCTGTAGAAGGCATCTATCTGGTGGCTGAAAGTAGAGGGTCAGGTCAGAGCCCTATCCAGAACTTTCCATTCATGTTTCACCCTATCCTAGATGTGGTGATATAGCAAAAGAGCTGAACCAAGAGTCAGGAGAGCACAGCTCTATGATCACCGTCTGTGTCTTAGCACACCTCGATCTCTATGGGGTTTGTTCACAAAAACCACAATCCTTCCATTTAGTAAATCCATTTACCCTGGAATTCATAGCTTCATCTCATTCCTACCCCCAAACACCAAGGAGCTTGGAAGGGTAGGCATTATAATTCTACCTCACAGCTGAGTGATGTAAAGTCATCCAGCAAGAATGAATAAGATGCTGTGTAACCTTTCTGATATGATTTTAAAGACTTTTTATGTTATCTATAAAAACAAGCCACTTAAAAAGTATATATATATATATATTGGCACATACCTATAATCCTAGCACTTGGGAGGCTAAGGTGGAAGAATGGAGGGGTTGTGAGTTAGAAACCAGCCTGGACTACACAGAGGGACTGTGTTTCAAAACACATATTACAAAACAGGATTTAAGTGCAGTATAGCTGCTAAGTGCTCTAAGTGTCGTTTCCCTGCTCAAAACAACTTTCTTTCTTTACTATACCTGTCTGCTAGACAACTGTAGCAGCCAGGGACACTTGGTCCCATACATGTCAAAAAAATATTACAATTTGAACATCCCTTAATCCATAATTCTGAAATCTGAAATGCTCTGAAACTCAAAACAGTTTGAGAACTAATACAACACATGTAGAAAATTCCACACCTGATCTCATGTAATGAGTGTCAAAACATAAGTACATTAAACATATATAAAATTACCTTCAGGATATTTACATAAAGCACATATGAAACATAAATTAATTTCATGTTTAGATTGGGTCCTACCCCCAAAGCTTCTCATTACATATAGGCAAATATTCCAAAATTTTAAAAATGAAACCCACTTCTGGTGCTAAGCATCCTGGATAAGGGGCACGCAACCCATACCATCCATGCATTGGATTCAGCAGAGACCATCATCCCTGTCTTGCTCTTCTCTCTAACTCTCTGAGTAGAAGAAGCCTAGGGTCCCAGAGTCACTGTCACTGACACGATATAATGGAGATGAAAAAGTCTTGCCATCTATGCACCCAGATACAGGAAACAAAAGTACCACGCCCTACCTATTGTTGATGCTAAAAAATAACAGCTAATATTTTTCAAGGAGAAGTTTCTCTCTTGGCACCTACCTCTAGGATCAAGTGTCCCTTCACAGAATTGCCTTTCCTGTGAAAGGCAGAGAGGACAGAACAATCTAACCTTTTTTTCTAAATTTGGCCTCCCTGCTCCTTCCTCTTCCCATCACTTCCTCTAAAAGCAAGAGCAGAATGACTAAGAGTCTCTGCTCTTTCTTTTGGTATTTTTAATTTTTATCATCTTAGTGTGAGCATGTGTGTACATGTGTGTGCATGCATGTGTGTGTATATGCAAGTGCACTGCCTGTGCCTGCACGCATGGAAGCCAGGGATTAATGTTGGGTACCTTCCTCTATTACTCTTACCTTGGGGAAATTTTCTATCCACCTGTACTTCCTATCCTACTTCCTGGGGTAGCTGTGAGCATTAAACAAGTTAATACCAGTAAAGCCCTTGGAAAAACTCTGCATGCATTCCTCTAACCCAGGCCACAGTGCTTGCCTGCTGAGTTATGGTGCCCAACCTGGACAGCTCACTCTGAGTCTTGAAAGGTAGTCCAGCTAACAGCTTTCTAGTCCCCTTTTGTTTCAGAGAGAGAGAGAGAGAGAGAGAGAGAGAGAGAGAGAGAGAGAGAGAGAGGCGTCATTAATTTTAGAGGGGAAAGAGTGAAAACATTTTTAAATCTGTCACTCTTCTGACATTATATTATTTTATCTGCATAGCAACTCTATATGATGCACAATTAGCCCCAGTTTATAGATGATGATCCGTAGCCTCAGTTTAAATATGCTACCCCATTGTACAGCCCCCAACTGAGAGACATGAAAGCCAAGTTGGAGGAGTCGGTAGCTTGAGCCGCTCAATCAAATGCATAGCAACCATGAAGCTCAGGTACACAGACACCACCCCACCCTCCTCTGCTTACGTGCAATCGTAACCTCTTTCAGTTGAAAAGTACCTGATGCTAGTTAAAGTGTTTCCTTATATATTCCCCCATGTTCTCCCATCCCAAAGCATTCCCCTTTCAAGTTAGAGAAGTCAAGAATTCTTATACTCATTTTATAGATGGAAAACCTGGGACAGTATATTCTGCCCAAGACATAGAGTGCTCCTCATACCCCATGGTAGGGTAGGATGTTGGACCCCTAGGTTCTCTTCTGCCCTCAAAGTTCTCTTCACGTTAGTTTTCAAGCTCATACTAGTCAGTGCTCGACTCCTTTCTCCATGACAGATGAATGTGGCAGTTCCAAAGAAATTTAGGCAATGCCTCTCCTGGAAACAGGAGAAGAGACTGTTCAGTACAGGCCGAGGAGAAAAAATAATCCAACCAAACCAGCCTCTCCTTACTCTTCTTAACCCCAGAGCTTCCTACTCCTCCAAGTTTGTCCCGTGTTGTCAGAAACTGTCAGCTTGGTTTCCAGTCTCCTTAACTCATGTTCTCTGTCCCCTCTGAAGCCCCTGGGGGCTATGAGAGCTCAAACCTAACCTTCATCTGAAATGAAACAGATGAAGACTTCAGGTTTCTTCAGGGATACCAGAATAGATGCCTCACCAAAATCTACACTATGACAGAAGCCTGGGCAAGCTTTCCTCTGGAAAAAAAAAAGGACACTTGCGAGTGAAAAAAGGTTTGAACTGAGAGCTGAAGAACCAAAGGGAAGCTAACTAAAGTAGATCTGTAAGGAAACAAACGCTACTCTCCAGCATGGCCTACACTTCTGCCCCAATCTACAGTCATAGTGACACAGGTTATAAGTACATTAGGAATCTTAGTAAACAGAAAATTCTGGACCATATCAGCTTCATCAGTGCAAAAACAAAAACAAAAGCAAACCCTTCGACCTTAGTTTAAGGACCAGAAAAGATGCCTTTAAGCATGGTGTATCAGCATGTGTATCACAGCTCATGCACATGGTTGTAACAGAACAGCGATCTTGATTCTAATGTGCTATAGGCTTTGGCTCTTAGGTTTCTCACAGGCAGCAAAAAGATAATATCATCTACTTCTTGAGATGGTAAACAAGAATTCCTGGAAAGAAGCTGTGTTGGAAAAGGCTGATTGACTGATCAGGACATCAATGACTGGAGAGTTTGGAATATGGGAAGTCCAAAGCCAAATTATCTTGGGCCATCTTTAGCTTAGCTTTGTAGTCATTTATTACCCTCCTCTATATTGGACCTAACATCCTGTGACAGATAAAAACCCTGTGGAATGTATGAATAGACCCCTCATATCCACCAATCCAAGGGCTAGGCATGCTGTGAGAGAGCACGTAAGGCCTACAGCAGACTTTTCACCGCTTTGTTGTAACGCCCCTCCCTGATGTCTCCACCAACGTAGTTGAAATATGTCTTGATTTATGGCTTTCTTTGTTCTGTTACTATAAAAGCTTCATGAAACCATTACCACTTTGGAACAAAGAATTGGGGGTGAGAGTTATTTTTGCCTCGACAGGTTTCTGTGTCAATAGACTAAATTACACAAGAGAAGAGCCTAACAAAGTTCTGGCACAGAGCAGGGGTTGAGGACGCTCTCTGCTCTTGCTCTCCTTTCTCTTCTAAGCTGGTTCCAACCACCTATAGGTTGTGGCCTCCCTGAGACTTAGATCAACTGGGCTCAGGAAAAAAAGTCTGACTGAGATGAAAATGTCTTTCCTGATTCTCAAAGCACAAAATTGTTTTGGCTGCTACCAGAGAAAGTGCTCCAAATTTTAACTCTGGGCAAAGAAGAGTTCCTGTCCTTGAAAACATAGTGAGAAGATCCAATCCTGACTCATAAGTATGAAATTTGCATTTCTAGAGGCAAGGACAGGGATGAAAATAAAAGATAACTCCTACTTTGGTTTCTTAAAAGTTCAAAGCATTTGTCCTTCCCACCTGTGACTGCACCCAAGGCCAGCAGAAGGAACCCATGCTAGGTCCCTCAGTACTTTGCGCCACCCATCCCAACTGTTACTGCAAAGACAAGGCTCTTTGAGCTTCTCACCACCCAGATGACCTGCCAGCACCTAATCACATCCAGCTTAGGCTGAGTTTGGCTGAGACCTCACTCCAGGAGTTTATCATTGACCTGGTAAGAAGGTATGGGGCAATTAACCAGGGCGGAAAAAAAACCTTAAGTTGCTACCTTGGCACTCATGTCTGTCCCACCCTCTGCCCTCACTCTTCCAAGGAACCAGAGAAACAGACTACCCTTATCTCCACAAGGAAATAAAAGGGTTTCTTGCTGGGAAATTCCCCTAAGGAAAAGAAATAACCAAGATAAACAATTCTATTGCCTTTGGCTCAGCTAGTAAAGGAAGTCTCTGGGAACAGGACTTAGGGCCAAGCTAAGAGAAGAGATAATGCCCCAGCTCCCTCCTGCTTACAATTCCTTATCTTTATTGGGTGCTCTTTACTACTTAGGGCCTATAATCACTGTTTTCTCTTTTAAATATTCTGTCAAATCCACTCCAAAGTTTAAAGTCCTCAAAGTCTGCTGGGAAAAAGGGATTCCCCTCTCCTTTCTCCTTTTCCTCTAGGGTATGGTTTGGGTCCTTGGATAGTGCAGCCAAAAAGAGGTCTGGGCCCCAATCCTCTCTAGTCCTGGGCTATGTACAAAGTCAATAGGGGTTGCCTAGATTCTCCATCTTCATCTTCCAGAATTCACCAGGCAGAAAAGACTAACATCTACATTTTTGTCTCTGACCCCATAACTGAGTCACATCTCAAGTTCCTAATTTTCTTCCCATAAAATGCTTATTCTTTAAAATTTTTCTTGATTCAAGAATTTCATACAATGTATTTTGATCATATTCAAGCCCCCTTCCCCCTTCTCCCCACTCTCTACCCTCACCGTACCACCCCCACCACTGACTTCATGTCCTCTATTAGCAAATGAAAAACCCTACCCATCTTATACAACACTTCTGAACTGGGTGCCAAAAAATCATAGTGTCAGTGATCTATAATTCTTACACACAGGTGGACCAAAGTAAAATAAAGGCCCACTCCCTTTCCTTCATACATGTTTTTGGGTCAGAATACACTCAGATTTCTTGGAATGGAGTTTTCACACTTGTTTTCTGTTTCTCTTATACACTGTTTAGGCTTGTCAGTAAGGGATTTTTCTTTCTGGGAGATGAGAAACACTTGGGTTTTCTCATCAAAATCAGTTATTTACAGTCCAAGTACCTGCAGATTACATTTTAGCCGTATTAGGACATCATTTGGACCATTTTGGTTCAAGGTGTTCTCCAATAGGCAATTCCCCACAGGGTTTTACTATGGTTAAAAGTTAACTACTCACAACAGGTAGCAGTTAGCTCACAGGCCTCCAACCCAAGATAGTCTGGGTGGCAGTTGGGATGTTTCAGAGCTTCACACGGCAGCTTTACACCAATGTCCTCCAACTTATTTTCTGAAATCTGGAGACTTCTCAGGTTCCTATTACTGCTGAGGGCTGCAGCCAGGTCTTGACAGCCACTGGATGATGATGATGGCTCAGTCAAACATGGATGTGCTGTGCAATGGCTGCTCACAGGCCCAGTTCCCAGCAAGGTTTGGCATGGTGAGGTGGTTGTAACCACCTCTTGGCTGTGCCCACAGCCTGGCCTCCTTACTCAACTTTGGCTACCAGCAGCCAGGGGGCCCAAAAGACCCTGGTGGTAGGCAGTCAGGCCAAGGGCATAGCTATACTGTGCACAGACTGCCAGACTGAGGGCAGGGCTCTGCCTGCCAGGACATGGGTGGTCAAGCTGAAGTGTTTTCTTCCTCATGGTTGAGGACTCCGTTGGCCTTCTTGGTGTCCACTGTCCTCAAATCTTCCTCCATATCCAGGGGAGCAAGTGAAAAGATATTTTCTTACTGGAGTTACGTCCTTTAAGCCCTTGCACCACCCCCACCATTGCTCCAGTGCCGCAGCCAAGCTGCCGCCCTCTTGGCTCTCCAATTATTTTCTTTCTTACTTGCCAAGTCCTGAGTTCAGAATTTTGAGATCAATATACAAGTACCCATGGTCAGGAAAATGTTCATCACATGTGATAAGGTTCCTCAAATGGTCTAGCACACGCACTCAGTCTTTTGGGAGCTGCACACCCACCCACCCACCCATGCCTCCTTCTGCCACCATCTCTCCAAGATTCTTAATAAGATCGTTTTGTGTCTTTTTAAAAGGGAAGTTATAAAGCTCAAATGAATGATATCAAAGATATTCTAGTCTCCAAATCACAGGACTAAGCGTCAGAGGCATAATATCAGATCTGAGGCATAATACAGTGGAGAAGCAGATAGCACAGACCCTGGAGCCATACAAAGCAGGCTTCAGATTACCCGCAGCCCCACTCTGACAGTGCCCCCTCCACATAATTCTTGTGTGAAATTCACAAACCCTTGTGTACCTTTACAAATTGTTAAGCTGCATTTTCCTGTCTCCGTTTACTCATCTGAGCACACCCAAAAATATGTCAGCCCCTTCCACATCCATGGATATAGAGAGGGCAGCTGAAACAAAAAAATGGGACCATATTATGGGGTACCCGATATTGTCTCCTGGACGATGATGCAGAAGAAATGTTGCCAATGTCCCTATCCCAAAGGAACATGGTGCTCAGGTAAGAAGACAAAAGGTGTTTGTAGCTACTGAAGAAGGACTGCACTGTGGGGTAAGGGACTGGGAGTTGTTATCAGGAAGGAAGCACCTCTCATCCGTTCATTCTTTCAACAGGATAAACATTACCTACTAAAGATAGAAAGCAAATAGGTGTTACACAACTTCATCTCCTTTTGATTATTGTCTTTCAGCATCTTACACAAGAAGTCAGACTAAGTGGCACAGCCTCCTTGGAAGCCACCAGCAACGATGCTCTTCTTGCTCACCTTCCTGTTAGCTGTCTTCCCAGGTGTGTCTGATGGGCCCAGCTTCCCCAGAGCTCAATCACCTTCCTCCCAGAATCCTTGCTTCTAGGATCCTAGGATCCAGCTCCATGGGACACTGATATCAGAGTCATCCCCAAGGTTGTCCCTCACAAGATGTGAATTTCTATAAGACAGGGTCACAGAGAGGCCACACAGAAAGGTCATGTCTGAAAACGAGCACTGGAAAGCAGGGATGGAGATGAAACTCCCAATTTTAAGAAAATTGGTGAAATACCTTCTCTGGAGCTTAAAAAAAATTAACCTTGACCTTAAACCAAACACTTTTATGAATTATATGATTTGGAGGAATTAATTATTCTTCCTGTCCCTTACTGTTTTCATTTGGATAAAAGGAAACAATCTACAAAGTGTTTCTAGAAATACAAGAAAATAGGAGCTGGAGAGATGGCTCAATGGTTAAAAACAGTAGCTGTTCTTGCAGAAGACCCAGGTTCGAATCCCAGCACGCACATGGCAGCTAACAACTGTCTGTAACTCCAATTCCAGGGGATCTGACAGTCTCTTCTGTCCTCTGCGGGCATTGCATGACACAGGTGCATGTACCTACATGCAGGCAATACACGCATACACATAAAATAAAAATAATAAATAAAATTAAAAAAAAAGAAATACAGGAAAATTACAAAAAAATGATATGTTTGTTATTCATTGTCCTTGAAAAGATTATTAATGAATTAAAATTATAATTGAATTGAATTATGATTAAGCAACCATTTTATTTAGTAAAGGAGATGTCTAGCTTACATGTAGTATCATGTAAATATAATCAACTAAAGGCATACACATTAATTAGATAATTGCATTCCTGTGTGGCTATGTGGATCCTTTCAGCAGACTTGACCTTCCTCAGGTCTCAGAAAACTCTTGTTTTCTGTTCCCACAGTGGTCTCCACGAAAAGTCCCATATTTGGCCCTGAGGAAGTGAGTAGTGTGGAAGGTAATTCTGTGTCCATCAAGTGTTTCTACCCAGACACCTCTGTCAACCGGCACACCCGGAAGTACTGGTGTCGGCAGGGAGCCAATGGCCTCTGTACAACCCTCATCTCCTCAAACGGCTACGTCTCCAAGGACTATGCAGGCAGAGCCAACCTCATCAACTTCCCAGAGAATGGCACATTTGTGGTGAACATTGCACATCTCACCCAGGATGACTCTGGGAGCTACAAGTGTGGTCTGGGCATCAATAACCGAGGCCTGTTCTTTGCTGTAAGCCTGGAAGTCAGCCAGGGTAAGGATCCAGGTCCCTTGGGCTTCTGGGGGGAAAGTGAGGAGGAGTTATCCCAGGTACAATGAGAGAGCTTGCTTGGGGAAGAATTCCTGGCAGAAGGGTATCCTGGCTAGAATCTAGTCACCTCCCTCCTGAGGCAAAGACCTTTCATAATAAGACACGGAATCAAGACATATGAGGCCTATCTAGTAGAAATGAATAAACCTTTCTAGGCTTTCTGGGTATCTTGAAGCCCTAGCTTAGATGGGTGTTAGGAAGATGATTGCTCTTGTTATATTTGATAGAGGTGGGACACGAAGTCTCAGGAGGCAGAAAATGCACCAAGAGATTTATAAGAATTCTTAAATTCATACCATCAATGTTCCTTTATATCAAGGTTTTGGGGGTCACAGAAAGTTTCTTTATAAATGGATTTTAATGAGATCCATTAGTCCATCCGAACTATCAGCATAAATTAGATTCTTATAATAAAAAAAATATAGATTCTTAGTTCTTGACCAATCACCAGGACCCCGAAGAGTTGGGTCACTAAGGCTTTCTGACAAGAGTTCAATAGTGTGGGCACTTTGAATTGTCGGGGACAAATTAAAAGAAAAAGTTTAAAAGGAGGAAATTTGGAGGGACTCTGAAGATAGCATTGCTCCTTTGAAATGTGTATATCATCAACTGTACCCCAAATAAAGAGGGTATTTCTATGCTGATGAAGATTCATAACACCACAGATCCTAACAGCTGAAAAGTACTCACAGTTGATCCCATCTGGAAATCTAGGAGAACACTGCAGATACTGAGAATATAGACACTGATTAAACACTTTCAATAGCAGACTTGCTGCTTACAAAACAGGCCGGAATATTTGGATTACTGTAAATTTTAGAAACTTCAATTGAGATGTACTGCAATTCTGCACTTACATTTAGTCTGTTCATTTCCACACATGTTAATCTGGAAACTGTCAAAAATCGGTGTTGAGCCAGTCACAGCAGGGAAGGCAAATGTAAGGAAAATGTCTGTGTTCTCCAGTCTATAGAGATAGAGCCTAGATTGGATATAATGACAGATACAGAAGTTCAGGAAGACACAGAGAAGGGAGAAATTAGTGCCAACTTGGGGAAATCTGTCTGAAGGAGATGGTAATCAAGGTGGGCCCTGAAAGACAGAGGGGATGAATGGGTAATTGATGCCCTCACTCATGATAGTTGTCATAGCTAACACCTCCATAACAAATGACAGGTTAACCAGAGAACACACAGCTTCCTTTAACCAAGTTTTACATACAACAACTTTACAACAACTCAAAAAATCTTATTGGACTTTGGGTTCCATGAGGTAGTGATGGCCAAATAGAGATGAGCGAGTCCAGAGCAGGCGTGAAGTAGTGATAGAGGGCCATAAGCCCGTCAAGACACGTCTAGGCAAATCCTTCTTGGCCTCGCAATTGCAGCGTTTCTTCTTCCTGGATATTAGGGAGAAACCCCCAGCAGGGAGGGCTTAATATGTAGAAAGTAGATAAAAAATGCCTTTCTGACCAGCTGTTACAGAGAAAAATGAGAGAAGGTTAGATTAATATTTTTAGGTTTCATGGATGGCTTTGATAAAAGGGTCATAGTTCCTACACCCCTCCTTGAAGAAGAATTCTAGTCTATGGCCTGCCTTTGGGAAAAATAAAGCGGAAAACAGAAGGGCAAGAGAATGTCAGAGAAAAGCTTTGCTTTTTGAGGCCTTCACTTTCATGTATCATTTTGTAAGCTCCAACAAATTCTGACAGTGCCCTTTTAGGGAGGAGGGCATTCTGGGTCATAAGCCCACCCAGAACATCACAGGGAATAGCAAATGATCCTATGTTACAAAACAGTGAAATTACAATTCTCCCTGTTCCTCATTCCACAGGTCCTGAGTTCCCTGATGACACTCATGTCTACACAGTGGATACGGGCAGAACAGTGACCATCAACTGCTCTTTTAGTCCTGAGAATTCTCCTAAGATGAAGTCCTTTTGCAAGAAAACAGACCAGTCCTGCGAGTTAGTCATTGATTCTGCTGGAACTGTGAACCCTAACTTTAAGGACAGAGCTCGTCTTCTTATTCCGGGGACTTCCAAAGATATGTTCAAGGTCATCATTGATCACCTAAAACCCAGTGATGCTGGGATGTATGTCTGCCAGGCTGGGGAAAGTTCTAGTGCTGACAAAAAGAATATTGACCTCCAGGTGCTAGAGCCTGAGCCTGAGCTGATTTATGGAGACCTGAGGGGCTCAGTGACTTTTGACTGTGCCTTGGGCCTTGAGTTGGCAAATGAGGCCAAATATCTGTGCCGAGTGAGTGACAAGACCTGCGATGTGGTCATCAATACCCTGGGGAAGAAGGATCCTGCTTTTGAAGGCAGAATCTTGCTCAGTGAAGACGGCAATGGCCGCTTCAGTGTGTTGGTCACAGGCCTGAGAAAGGAAGATGCAGGGCATTACCTATGCGGAGCCCACTCTTCTGGTCTGCCTCAGGAAGGCTGGCCCATCCAGGCTCAGCAACTATTCATCAATGAAGGTGAGCTCCCTGCCCCCGAGAAGGGAAGTAAGAAGGGTAACACAGGATGGCAGATGAGAGACTGGCTTAGCTCCCTGAGTGTATTCATTAATGTCAGGGGCAGCCCTGAACTCAATACAATATGGGAAGCAGTACAGGAGAGCTAGGAAATGCAGCCTCTGTCTACCTTATGTTAGATCCCAATTATTCTTATGTTGTCAAGGGTCTGTTGATGGCTATCCCTGGTTAATAGGAATAAGGACAGTAAAACTTCTGTTGGAGCCATAACTTACAGATGAACTCAGTGTCATGGTAGGCCATATGCCCCTTCCATCCTACCCAACTCCTGAGCAGGCAGGGTGTATGCCACATCCCTCATACTCAGATGGGAGAACATTAGCATACCCTGCTCTTCTAGATTCCTGGAAAACAATGCCCCAGTGTCTTAAATGTTCCACTCCCACAGCTCTTAGTGTTATTATTCAGCACAACCTGGCTCATCATACACACTTCTGTGAGCCATGGACATGGCAAAATAATTAGAACCCCATTTTTTCTCTCCCTGGAGCACCTCACACAGAACTGTCCTCATGAGAAGTAGCAAGCTAGTACTCGCAGTTCAAAGTATCTATCCTTATGGATTTTCCTTAAGGGGCCTATCTTCCTAATACAACCTTCCAAAGCTCAACTCTGGGGGCTCATCACATTTCTGACATCTTCAGCCACCCCAGGTTCTCTCTGGATGCCAGCATTATATGCTGTACTCTTTGAGACAACTCTCAAGGTCTCTGAGTACTGAAATTATGCCAAAAATTTATACTTAAAGTCAAATCCATTCCAAATATATTTTCTTATTATAGGTACAACACATTGAGACATTTTTGTAGGATAAGATAAGAAACAGATTGAAAACTTATCTAGAGGGAGATTTTGTAAGATATCAAAACAAGAGGGGCCAACATTCTCTCTTAAACACTTCCATTCTCTGCTCAGAACAAGGTGGGAAAAAAGGAATGAGATATCCACACTGGTGGTAAATGACCCTGGAGTCTGGTTCCAAGGCTCCAGCTATGGACTGTGACATGAAGCGAATCTTTTTCATTTTCTGAGGAGTAGGGAGGCAATTTGTCTAAACTTCTCTTTCTCTGTCTCTCTCTGTGGTGGAGACTATGGTAAGAAAGTTGCTTGGGATGTGTAAGACTGTTTGGGTGTTTTTGTCCTTTCATGTGTCATCTTTGTCTATGCTTCTAGAGACTGTGATTCCCCATAGTCGCTCTGTGGTGAAGGGTGTCGTAGGAGGCTCTGTGGCCATCCTCTGCCCCTACAACCCTAAGGAAAGCAGCAGCCTCAAGTACTGGTGTCGCTGGGAAGGGACTGGGAACGGCCGCTGCCCACTGCTTGTGGAGAGTGAGGGGCTATTGCAAGAGCAGTATGAGGGCCGACTTGCACTGTACAAAGAACCGGGCAACGGCACCTACACTGTCATCCTCAACCAGCTCACCACTCAGGACGCTGGCTTCTACTGGTGTCTCACCAATGGCGACTCTCGCTGGAGGACCACATTAGAACTCAAGGTCGTTGACGGTGAGAGCTGGACCAGATGGGGAAGGAGGAAAAGGCCCAAGACTGCTTCATCAGCAGCAGTCTCGTTCTCAGATACCTTCTTCCTACCTCGCCTCCCCCCATGCTGGGGTAGGGAAGGCCGCCTGTCACATTTTCATATCTGTGACAAACACCCACCTTTCAATCATCACTTCCCAATATCAGAAACATTGGCCTCCCTTCAATAAGCAGGTGTCACTTGACGTAGAAGATTGAAGGTGGCTCTTTGCATTAAGTCTAGAAAAAATGTTAGCATAAGAAAAACAAACAGAAGTCAGTGAGCAAGGCTGTAAATTCCATAGTAGCCTCTGGACTGATCACGGTTGCCATCAATGATTTTTATATTAGCATATCCTTCTGTTTCTTATGTATTTAGCATATATATTTATTTACCATGCTATACACAGGGAAAATGCAGACAAATCACCACAACCACAACAGTCCTTTCCCTGCAGCATATCCAAGTCTCAATTTCTGTTCCTATTTCTTCTTCCTTCCCTGTTCTAGGAGAACCAAGTCTCAAGGTACCCCAGAATGTGACTGCTGTGCTGGGAGAGACTCTCAAGCTCTCCTGCCACTATCCATGCAAATTCTACTCTTATGAGAAATTCTGGTGTAAGTGGAGCAACAAGGGCTGCAGCTTCCTGCCTAGCCATGAGGAAGGCCCCAGCCAGGCCTCTGTGAGCTGTGACCAGAGCAGCCGCCTTGTCTCCCTGACCCTGAACTCAGTCAGCAAGACAGACGAGGGCTGGTACTGGTGTGGGGTGAAAGAAGGCCAGTACTATGGAGACACTGCAGCTGTCTATGTGGCAGTTGAAGAGGCAACAGGGGGTAAGTCTCCAAGGACAGCCCCTGCACCCCACAGTACCCCCCATGGCAGGGTTCACCAAAGGTCTCTGCCTAAAAGCTTCTCAAACAGGAGTAGACCTTGAGTTTTACTATAGGAACAAAAGAGTAGGAAGCAAGATAGTAGTGGGATTGCTGTTTAATCTCAGTGTTAGGCCAAGTCATATAGGTGCCCCTCAAACCAGAAAGTCCCCTCTATATCTAGAGATATTTTATATATAACGATTTCAAAGTCACATTCACATGCAATATACTCATTTTCCTTCCACCTACAAAGACTGCTCTCAAAAGGTGGCTAGATGCCTACATTTCAATCAAGAAAATTAAGACACAGGGCTGAGGATAAAGCTTGGTGTAGAGCATGTGCTTAGGCCTAAGTTCAATTTCCTAACATCAAAAGAGTAAAGGAAAAAGCAGTCAATGCAAACTTGTCTAGTAAGTTTGTATTCGGCCTCTGTTTAAAATGTCATATGAGATGTCTTATCTGGTGAGGGCATTTTAGCCCCTGGAAATCTCAAGAAGTCTGAGTCCAGCAAGACTGACACTAGGGCCGGTTGCTATGCTATTGCCTGGAGGCAGCCCTGTCATACTCAGCTCCTAGGGCAGGGTTTCAATACTATGAAATGTCTCACTGTCTCTAAGTAAGAAGGCAGCTTATAATCACAGCTGGATCCATGACATAGATCCTTCAGGATGGAAATAAACCTGGTAACAGTGAGGTAATGGTAGATAGAAATAATCTTGATGCACTAGAAAGGGACATGACTACCAGGTCTAATGCCATTCCAGACTGCACCTCAGCAGCCTGAGGTCTGACCCTGTGATTCCTCCCTAACCTTGAGGAGTTAAGAACACAGAGGAAAGATCATAACCCAGCCTTTGTTTGCTCTGCTACAGGGTCACGCCATATCAGCCCAACACATGCAAACATTGCTCCTGAGGAAGAGGTAATAGAATCGAGTGTCAATGAGAATGAGAACAAAGCCATTCTGAACCCAAGATTTTTTGCAGAGGAAAAAGTGGTAGAGGGAGTGAGAGACCAAGCTCATGAGAACAGAGCATCTGTGGGTGTTGGCAGGTAAGTAGTAGATCACCATTCAGAGAACACTCCAAAGGCCAAGGCTAGACCAGTAGGTCCAAACAGCAGAGTCTGAGAGAGAACAGTGACAGGCTTATGCTGTGGGGGAAGGGGAAGTTACTCACCCCTTCTCTCATGGCTGGGGCAGTTCAATTCAGTCTCGCAGGCCTGAGGTATAGAGAAGGCCTGGTCCTTGCCTTACTAGTTCTAGAAAGTTCTTGGGAAAAAGAAATTTGAGGGGTGGTGTCAAAAAGACAGAGTAGATAAAAGAATTCCAGCTGGGGGCAGCCTTCCAACACATCCAAACTGAACCCCAAGCCTCCCTTTCAGTGATGGACTGACTTAATCCTTCTTGCAGCTCTGATGGACAAAGAGGGAGTTCCAAAGCCCTGGTCTCCACCCTGGTGCCTCTAGGTCTGGTGTTGACAGTAGGGGCTGTGGCTGTGTGGGTAGCCAGAGTCCGACACAGGAAGAATGTAGGTGAGTACCAGGATGCTCCCCACCCCACCTCCAGCTCAGAGGCCTTAGCCCCAGCTCGGCTGTCCATCACAGTCTTCCCATAGGCTCGTATAAAAGATACTGAGAACAGATGGAAAGATATGGCTCTTCTTAACTGAGTGCTGCTGTACAGATAAGGTCTCTGGAGAAGGCCGTCTCAAGGCTCAGGACTACCAGGACCTGGGCTCTGGCCTAGTTAATTCACTACTCAGCTATGTGACTTTGGTATATCCCATTTCATTCCTCAGTTTCCTCATGACTCAAGACAGGGCAATAGTAACTACTTCACAGAGCTGATTTAGGAAAGAATGGAGTGCTGTGTACTCAGTCATAAACTGGTAAAGTTCATAGTCTTGACTATTCATGATAGGAAGTCAGATCATTTTCATTTGCTTTGGAGGGAGTTAGAGGCAAGCATCAAGAAGTTCTACTCCTTGGTGTCCTGCAGCTGTGGCAGGTCCTCTCAGGGAGGGTATCCCATCCTACTCTCCTTGACCCTGGTCTTATCCTCACCCCAACTCCTCTGCCAAACAGACCGGGTTTCAATAAGAAGCTACAGAACAGACATTAGCATGTCCGACTTTGAGAACTCCAGGGATTTTGGTGGCAATGACAACATGGGGGCCTCTCCAGACACCCAGGAGACAGTTCTTGAAGGAAAAGATGGTACGTGTTGAAAGAATGCCCAGTCCTCAGGAGAGCAGAACTGGACCTGCTCTGATTGAGGGAGGGACCAGGGATGGTGAGGACTAACCACACTCTGTCCATGCAGATCTCACGAACACGGGGGACATCACCACCGAGCCTGAAGAATCTAAGAAAGCGAAAAGGGTAAGGGCGAAGGAGGTTCTGCTGTGACAGAGAATTGGGGTTACAGTTGGACATCAAGACAAAATCATCCCCACACAGAGGCTGACCCCAGAACACGGATATTGATGTAGCTGAGGCTGCAGATGGAGGGGGATGCAGTAGTAGGCTGTGAATCTACAGGAGATATGTGCACAGGAGGGAAGGTCACTGTTAATACTAGGGATTAAGTGGATGGTCTTCCTGTGCTATGAGCCCTCGGGCCTTTCCATGGGTCACTTCCTTGAAGATTTCCTCAGGACTAGCCTTTTGCCTGGGTCTGGAAGACATTCACTCATAGTGGGTCTCTTGATCATAACCCAAAATCCTTGTTCACCCCAACCAAGTGTCACAAATCCTGAAAGAGGCAACTCCTGCCTTTGGGATATAAAAGGCTCTTTAGGGTGCTCCCTTGCCTCCAATCCTGAGGCATGGACACCTGTTACCATATATGCTTCCCCTCATACTTCCAGAGACCCTGCATTTGGCCCAATTAAGATATGAAGTTAATCCTGGAGATGACTTCCCTGCCAGCTGCATGGTGCGGAAAAGCTACCTCTCTAGGCTAGTGGAGAGACAAAAACAGCCTGGGCCTCCTCATGTGGACTATGGGCACGTAGCTTCTAGGGACGGGCCCAGCCAATACAGGTTGTTCCACCCCACTTTGCAGAAGGAGGTAGTGAGACAGTGGGAGATATTTTTAGAGGCTGCAACTTTCCATTTCTCAGAATTTAGTTCTTCCTGCTAAGCATGGGAGCTTCATGTCAGCCTGTGTTGCTCCAGCAGAGATGGTGAATTCAGGACATCAAGTGCATGCCCTCCCTTTCAACCGCTCCACTGATGCCTCTCCTGTTCCTCCCTAGTCATCCAAGGAGGAAGCTGACATGGCCTACTCAGCCTTCCTGCTCCAGTCCAGCAACATAGCTGCCCAGGTCCAGGATGGCCCCAAAGAAGCCTAGGCAGGGCTGACCTCCTGCTCCTGCCCATGACAATCAACTTCAGAATCACACTGATCCAAGCACAGCCTGTGCTCACCTGTCACCTACCTGTCATCAGAGGTGTGCTGGTCCCTTCTTCGGTCATCAAAACCTGGTCTAATTGTACCTGTTTGGGAGAGGATGTGAGGAGTTCCAGTCTGCAGCTTTCTCTCTGTTAAAAGATTAATGTGTAGCTAAGAAGTCAAATCTCAGAAGGGGTCTCTGAAAGCAGAGGGTTCAGAGTAGGGGCTCATTTCAGGAGGGAGAGACATGTGGAGCCTCTCACACCTTTATAATGGCGTGTCAATGTCACTTGTCTCTCCCTTCCATCTCTCCCTTCTTCCCTTCCTCTCTTCTTCATTCAAAAGACACATCTGAAAACATATGAGCATCCAGGTGTCTGCTAAAGGCTGGGATCCCATCCTCAGTCTTTCTGTAAACATCACTGAAAGAGGACTCATCTCCCAGTTTCTTTCTTACCACTTTATCCTCACCAGGGATACCTCCTGCCTCTGCCCTTATTGTACAACATAATAAAACGCCCGCAGTCTAAGATATCTTCCCATCTCATAAGTAGGGACACAGGAGTTCTGAGATGGGAAGAGATTTTCTCTAGAGCACCCAGTGAGATAAACTAGTATCCAACCAGATTTGACAGCTCCTACCCTCTTGACCTGGGATCTGTCTACAAACCCTTTCTCATTATTGGAGGGAGAATTTTAGAATGAGAAGAATAAACCAGGCATGGTGGATGTACTTGTATCCCTGCAATCAGGAGGTACAGGTTCAAGGACATCGTTAGCTACATAGGGAGTTTGAGACCAGCCTGAGATACATAAGACTCTGTCTCAAAGCAAAAGAAAGAAGAGGAGGGGAAAGAGGAAAAGAAGGAGGAAGAGGAGGAGGAGGAAGAGGAGGAGGAAGAGGAAGAGAAGGAGGAGGAAGAAGGGGAAGAAAAGAAGAATCAATGGAAATTTATCTTCCCCAGCCTAGCTTTATCCCTTACTGTCACATTTATAAGAGACAGACAAACATTTATAATTCCTTGTATTTGAAAAGTTTTGAGCAGAAAGGATGAAGATGGAGCCAGGAGGGCAGCTGATCTACCAAAAGTCAAACTGAAGGACTTTTCCTCTCTGAGCTCTACACTTCAACCAGCACCTATAGCACACTAACAAATCAGAAATATCACTTAATTAATCATTAAAGGCCATGATTGCCACCAATGAGACTCAGACTGCATTTGTTCACCATATCTCTGGTTTCTACTTTAGGTACCCCAGATTATGTGTCCAAATCAACAGCCTCAGCCAGAACGAAGGCTGGGCTGAAAAGATCTTAAGCACAATGCTTTGACTACAGATACTTCCTTCCCTGATCATCAGTCTTTCTCCAGTCTCCTCACTGGCCTACCAGCTGCAGTGCTGAGTCCTAATGCCTTGGCCCTGGCCTAGATCAAAGCCTTAGGTTCCTTCCCCAGCAGGAAAGACAGATGCTGTGACTGTGACTAAGAATGTTAATTTCCCTCTAGCTTCTCCTGTAGTGATAGCAAGTCATTCCAAGAGAGCTCTTGCTATAAGATGTGTCACTTGTTATCACAATATTATCTTCATCCCATTCCATTTCCCAAGCTGCTTGCAGTGTCACTTAGAGGGCTCTCTGCCTGTGGTAGAGGTTCCAATGGCCAGCATCCCAACCCTGAGCTTATCACATAGCCTATCCTAATCCCTGCAAGCAAAGGCCAAGAAATGTCGTTAAAACCACAGGTGATCTCATATTATTCCTAGGTATTATCAATAGGCCATCTGCTCCTGAGGAAACTCCACATGAAGGAGGAAGCTGGTTCACAGGAGGACTTGAATTTTGGTTGGATAACATTCAGTCCACTTGAAGCAGTTAACTGTGGGATTAACTGTGGGATTAACAGTGATAAACAAATTAGCAATGACCACTAACCAGTCAGGGAACTGCTTAAATATTTGATGACAAGGAAAATTCCTCCAAGTTCTTAAATTATCTTTTGAAGCTCCTTTATATGACAGTATGACTGTACATTAGTTCTTAAGACAAGTGTTAAAGCAATTGTTTTATTTTATAAAGTATTTTTTAATCTCTAATTGTTCAAGAACACTTCTTCCAAGAACATCAGACATTAATATTGAATGTTAGAGAGGAACCACCTATGCTGAAATCTATGAAGCTTGTTCCTAAGGCAGAGAAACATCTAGTGTACCCCACCTCTACCCATTCCCCTAAAATACTTTAACTGTGCTAGGGACTCTTTGCCATAAAAATAATGAGGGATTGTCTCAGGAACAATACTATCTATGTGAGAGAGGGCACACTATATAAAAGGCATACTGAGGCCAGTGGCCCAAGTTGACAATCAAAAGAGAGATCATCCAGCCATGTGCACTAATGTGCTCTAGAGATTCTCTTCCAAGGCAGTTGGTTGTTGTGACACACACATAATCCCAGCACCAGGGAGGTTGAGGACAGAATACTGTGAGTTCTAGCCTAGCTTGGACTATATAGCAAAACCCTGTCTCAAAAGTGAATGAATGAATGAATGAATGAATGAATAAATAAATAAATAAATAAATAAATAATAAATAAATAAATAAATAAATAAATAAATGTAAAAGAGAAGATTTCTGGGTAAGATAACAGACTAGAAGTTACCTCTGTATGGCCTAGTGAAAGAGAAGAGTAAAGATAAAAATGAGTGAGGCGTGGTGGCGTGTGTCTTTAATCCCAGAACTTGAGCGGCAGAGACAGGAGATCTCTGTGATTGAGGCCAGCCTGTTCTACATAGCGAGTTCCAGGCCAGCTGGGGCTACAAGGAGACCCTGTCTCAAAAAGACTAAAGAGAAAAAAAAGATAAAAATGAATAGACTTCCTATAAGAGACCTGAAGAGCACCGGAAACACACAAAGCACAGTAGAAAAATGTGGGAAAACAAAAACAGTCGACCCAGAGCAAAAAACATAAGCCACGGTGACATACGGGCTGCAGTCAGTGGTAGCTACCAGGGAGGCACAGTTTCCCCTGAAAACAGGCACCACAAAAGTGGCAAGCTATGGGGTTTGAAAGATGGTTCAGTGGATAAAAGCACTGGCTGCTCTTGCAGAGAATCTGGGTTTAGTTTCCAGCATCCATATGGTGGCTAACAACCATCCATAACTCCAATTCCAGGACCCAATACCCTCTTCTGACCTCTGGGGGAATTGCATGCATGTGGTACACTTACATACATGCATACAAAACACGCATACACATAAATAAATAAAATATTTTTTAAAGCAATGGTATAATAGAGAAAGACTGGCTAGACTACAGTTACAACCAGAAACTAGATACCTTGTAGTCAGAAAAAGCCAGAGCTCTGGGAGACTCTGGTGAAAGCACTGTATGGAAGCTTTAAGCTGAGACTCCCTGAAAGTACCCAGAGGGCACCTAGCCTGAGGAACTTGAGAACACACCACCTCTTCCACTGCCAAGACAAATGAGAACACAGGAACACAATCTCCCTGATGGACAAAAGATTTCTCAGACAAAAAATATAGGACACTGAGGCTGGAGAGATGACTCAGCAGTTAAAAGCACAGGTTGCTCTTGCAGAGGACCTGGGTTCTGTTCCCAGCATGTACATGGTAGGTAACAACTGTCCTTAACTCTAATTCCAGAGTATCCAACGTCCTCTTATGGCCTCCGCAGGCAGTGCACACACATGGTACAGTTACATACATGCAGGCAAAATACTTACATACATTAAATAAAAAATAATAAATAAAACACTTTCAAAAAACGTAGGACACTGGCAACAAAAACAGTCAGGATTCAGTTCAGAAGAGAGTGCCCAGCGGCAAAAGTAAACCCAAGTATGGGTGTGCTCCCACATTCACCTCACAGAAAGCCCCGCATGCACAGTATATCCCTAGCACAGCAGAGATGGAACTGCAGCTAGCAGCAAATTCCTGAAGAGAGTAGAACCCCACGCAGAATTTCCTCTCAGCAGTGAAGACACACTGATCTAACGTGTTTGAAGTCCCCATGCTCTCCCCCACAAAGACTGCTATAAAATACAAGTAGAGGGAGAAAGAAAAACTGTATTCATCCCAACTAGGATACAACATTGATTAATGTTGTAATACATTCTATTTCACTTTATTTCTTTATTCTAAATTTTATTTACTTTTGTGCTTTAATTGCTTGGTTGCTTTGTTTCAGCTTCAGTCTCATCTAAATAGGCTTTTTATGACTATCCTTTCTTTTCCTGCACCTATCCTATAACATTTTCTCTTTTGTTTTTCTTAAGTTTCTCAAACAATTTCCTATTTCCCTTTTCCCATTCACTCCTTTTTTTTATTTCTTAGTTATTAATTCTCTTAGCTCTAGAAAACTATTAATGATGTTTTTCCAAGCCAATAATACCATGGCGCTGCTGTCTCTGAACCTGACGGAGAACACACACATGAAGCACAGAAGGGTCCACTACTGAAAGCTAACACCAGGACTGCTGTGGAGTCTGTATCTGCTACTGCGGTCTCTACCCTTCCTAAATAGCATGAGAAACACAGGGCCAAGCAAAACCAACTCAGCAGGGAGACTTGCACGAAATAAAAGAAAGAAAAGGAGTGGGAAATGGGAAAAACAAAAACCAGAGGGTGCATCCATTCTGACAGATGTAGAAAACAGAAGGAGCAAACATGAGAAAACAGGCACCATGGTGCCTCACAAGCCCACGTGCCTCAAGACCAGAAACAAAGATCATGAGACAGATGAAATGCTAGACAAAGTTTCAGGATTCTATTTTTAAAAGTGTCAACGACCACACAGAGAACGCAAATAAGCAGATAAATGAAGTGAGGAAATCACTTCAGAACCTAGAGAGGAAAGTTACCAAAATAAATGGAAAGTTCAGGAATACAGAAAACAAATATAAAAACAGGAAAACTTCAGCAAGGAAACTGAGATTCTGCAAAAGAACCAAACAGAAATGCTGGAAATCAGAGAGAATCAATAAACTATAAAACAGTGGAAAGCATCATTAACAGGTAAGAGCAAGCCCCTCTCCAAGAAAACTCAAAAATCTATCACGGATGGAAGACAAATTAAAGACACATACAATTTTTTTTTTAAATTAATGAGAGTGACAAAAACTTTCAAAAACTCCAGGATACATTCAAATGACCAAACCCAAGAATCCTCAGGATAGAAGAAAGGGTTAAGATAAATCTAGGACCATAACTAATTTATTCAATGAAATTATAGCAGGAAATTTCCCAATCCTATAGAAAGAAATATATGTGCAAACACAAGAGACATTGAGACCCCAAGTAGATATGGCCAGAGAAGAACCTCTCCGTAACATACCATAGTGAGATGTCAAAAATTCAAAACAAGGAAACAATATTAAAAGCTGTAAGGAAGAATACCAACTCACTTACAAAGGCAAACACAACAAAATAACATCAGATCTCTCGCTCATCAGCAACCTGAAAGCCTGGGAAGCATGGATTGACACCTGGGAAGCACAGATTGACATACGGCAGGTACTGAAAGCAAACAACTGTCGATCAAGATTGCTATCCAGCAAGGCTCTCTCTTAAAATTGAGGAAGAAATATGAACATTTTGAAATGAGCACAAGCCAAAGCAGTTCATGACAGCTCTGCCAGCACTCCTTAAATACTTGAAAGGATCTGGAGAGATGGCTCAGCAGAAGAGTGCTTCCTGCTTACACAGGACCCAAGTTCACTTTTCAGCACCATGTCTAGCAGCTCACAGGCAGATTAAGAGGACTGGCTGCTCTTGGAGGTCTTAAGACTTGGGCTCAAATCCCAGCAGCCACATGGCAGCTAACAACTGTCCATAAC